TATCATTTTATCTCATCCACTAGAACTACTTGAATATTCCAAAATCAATTTCCTTAAAGACAGGAAAATGCTTGTCTCTTTCTCTTTAATTAATGTTTTCAAAGTCAAGCATTATTTTATTTTATTTATTTTTTTATGTCTTTCTATTTTTTTTTTTTTACTTTTTATTTTACATCCAAGTTAGTTAGCATATAGTGCAACAATGATTTTAGGAGTAGATTCCTTAATGTCCCTTACCCATTTAGCCCAGCCCCTCTCCCACAACCCCTCCAGTAACCCTCTGTTTGTTCTCCATATTTAAGAGTCTCTTATGTTTTGTCCCCCTCCCTGCTTTTATATTATTTTTGCTTCCCTTTCCTTGTGTTCATCTGTTCTGTGTCTTAAAGTCCTCATATGAGTGAAGTCATATGATATTTGTCTTTCTCTGACTAATTTCACTTAGCATAATACCCTCCAGTTCCATCCACATAGTTGCAAATGCCAAGATTTCATTCTTTTTGACTGCCGAGTAATACTCCATTGTTTGTGTGTGTGTGTGTGTGTGTGTGTGTGTGTGTGTGTATATATATACATATATATATATATACCACATCTTCTTTATCCATTCATCCATCGATGGACATTTGGGCTCTTTCCATACTTTGGCTGTTGTTGATAGTGCTGCTATAAAAATTGCATGTGTCCCTTTGAAACAGCACACCTGTATCCAGGGGATAAATACCTAGTAGTGTAATTGCTGGGTCGTAGGGTAGTTCTATTTTTAGTTTTTTGAGGAAGCTTCACACTGGTTTCCAGAGTGGCTGCACCAGTTTGCATTCCCATCATTATTTTAATAGCTACCTCAGATGGTGATAAATTAGTTTTCCTTTATGTTTTTTTTATAAAAAATTATTGTAAATTAACATATTTTAATTGATTCAATATATTTCAATCATCATAATTACTATGATTTTGATGTTTAAATTGTCACGATTTGGCAAATGGTCCCTTTTCAAGTGGTCTCTTACGTCCTTTTGCTATGACCCCATTAATATTTGAAAGTTTCCTTACTTTCTAGTGAAACAAGGTGTCCCAGGTTCATCTTGGCCCTGAATCAGATAAAAATCAGCTATTCTCCAAGGACTTCTGATTCCTTCAAGGGAAATGGTGATAGAGAGCATGTTCTTGGTCTTTTAAAATTACCTTTATTGATGATATAATGTACATACTATAAAGTGCATCCATCCATTTTTAATGAATGTATATGCGTGTATACATCACCTGAATCAGTACATAGAGCATTTCCATCACCCCAAAAGTTTCCTCCTGCCACTTTGCAGTCTCCCATCCTTACCCGCAAGCAACCACTGCTCTGTTTCTGTCACTATAGATGAGTTTTGAGTACATTCTAAAATATAATATAACTAGGGGCGCCTGGGTGGCGCAGTCGGTTAAGCGTCCGACTTCAGCCAGGTCACGATCTCGCGGTCCGTGAGTTCGAGCCCCGCGTCGGGCTCTGGGCTGATGGCTCGGAGCCTGGAGCCTGTTTCCGATTCTGTGTCTCCCTCTCTCTCTGCCCCTCCCCCGTTCATGCTCTGTCTCTCTCCCAAAAATAAATAAAAAACGTTGAAAAAAAATTAAAAAAAATATAATATAACTAGAATCACAGAGTAGCTACTGTTTTTGTGTATAGCTGTCTCTCTCTCAGTAGAATTTTCCCTAGGGGTGGAGATAATTTTTTAAAAACGCAGAAACAAAGACTTACAGAAAAATCGTAAGTATAATCCAAAGAGCCATTTCAGATTGAGCTGCCCACATGACACCCCTCACTCCAAATGCTTTTGTGTGCGGTTCCTATATTACAGTTATCAAAACCAGGATATTAGTATTGTTACATTACTACCATCTAACCTCAGATCCCATTCAAATTCCAGCAATGGCTCGTTGTCAGAAGAATACAAATCAGCATGACATGTTCCGTGTAGTTGGCATATCTTTTTAGCCTCCTTGATTTTGGAAGAGTTTCTGTCTTTGACTATAATATTTTAAGACGACAGGCTATTTCTTTTCTTCAATAACCCTCAGGGTGCATTTGTCTGAATCCACCTTTGGATTCAGATTGCACGGCTCTGGTAAGAATAGCACAGAAGCAATGCTGGGTTCTTCTCGTTGTATCACATCAGGTAGCACAGGATTTCCATTTAATCCATTACTGATGAATTTCGTGTTGCTTACCCGAAGAACGTGGGCTCTCCTACGTTTTTCCACCGAAAAATCATTTGTCACAGACTGGTAATGAAAACACAACATATCAACATTGGTGGCAAGCAGCTAAAGTTTGTTGGGAAATTTGTAGCTTTCGGTGCTTATATTTGAAAAATAAAAAGGTCTGAATCACTGAGCTCAAGAAGCTGAAAAAAAAAAGGGGGGGGGGTTGGAGGTGGTGGAATTACACCCAAAGTAAGTACAAGAAAGTAACAAGTAGTCAACAAAATAGAAAAAAGACAACGAAGATAATGAGTGAAACCAAACTGTTGGTTCTTGAAAATGACTGGTAAATCTGTAGTCGGTTGGATTAAGAAGAAAGACGACGCGTTACCAATAACAAGAGTGAAGGATGCGACTTCACACCTGATGTTATTAAAGACATTAAAAGGATACTATGAGAATAATATAAATAACTTTATGGCAATCAATTCAACCACTTACGTGACAAAAAAAAACCAAATTCCTTGAAAGACATTATTGCCAAAACTGTCACAAGAAACAAACCGGAAATTCTTCATACACCTGTGTCTATTAAAGAAATTGAATTGAATTAAAAACCTTCCCCATAAGGAAAACTCCGGACCCAGAAGGCTTCCACCTTGAATTTCACTGAACATTGAAGGAAAAAGTAATACCAAGCCTACACAAAATCGTTCTAAAAAACAAAGGAGGAGAGACCATTGCCAGGCTAGCATCACCCAATACCAAAACCTGACGAAGACATTGCGCGAATAAAGCCCCACAAAACCATTTTGCCTCATGAATATCGATGTAAAAAACCTTACCAACATATTAGCACCACATTACGTGGAGGACCCTGGAATTATCTCAGTAGACGCAGAAACAGCGTGCAAAAAAGACTCAGCCTTTTGGGATTTAGCAATGTGTACCAAGCCTCTCTACTTTTCTCTGGCTGGGGCTGGAATACATCCTTGCCCTGCCTGAGTTCAGCTTACCACACCCTTATAGTTCCCTCTGATGTGGTCAGAAGTGAGATTCTTGGCAAGGGGTTTTGAAGGTAGAATCACAGGAACAATTGAATCAGCGTTCATAAGAACTCAGTTATTGGTGCCTTCAGAGCACAGAAGAAATAAGCTATCCCCTAAAAATAAAGGAACGAGGGATGCCTGGGTGGCTCAGTTAAGCGTCCGACTTTGGCTCAGGTCATGATCTCCTGGTTCGTGGGTTCAAGCCCCGCGTCAGGCTCTGTGCTGACAGCTCAGCGCCTGGAGCCTGCTTCGGATTCTGTGTCTCCCTCTCCCTCTGCCTCTCCCTCACTTGCGCTCTGCCTCTCTCAAAAATAAATAAACCTTTTTTTTAAAAAGAATAAAGTAAAGAGAGGTACGTTTAAAAGTAGCTTGGAAGAGAAGTGCTGGAGAGTGATGGAGGGATGTACAAGAAATGTTCAAATGGTCAGAAATGCAGCCCTCTGACTCGGGAAGGTGTTCAGGACATAGAGCTCCACTTGGGTTGGGCGCACAGCCATGAGATGAGAAGCTGTTGGCGTGCGTGAAATTGCCAAGGAGACAGGAGACAGAGGGCAAAAGGAAAAGAGGGCCAGGGCCAGGATCTCGTGAAGGACGTAGGCTATACTGAGAGGGGGAAGAGCCAGCAAAGACACAGAGGATAGAATTTCATGGGGAAGTGAAGGAGCTTTCAAGGAATGAGCGTTAAATTTGCACCTGGCCACGGAAAGGTCATCTGTGGCTGTGGAAAGCCTTCCCGTAAATGGTGGGGGTATGACCTTGACTGCGATGGGTTAATGAGGAGGGGGCGTTGAGGAAGTGGAGGTGGGGTAAGAGCAGGTGAAAGGAAGAGAGCTCAGGGCAGCTGGAGGGCGGTGAGTGGGTGTCCTTCAGTTAGGGGAGACCTAAGTGAGATTTTAGCAAAGGGAATCATCTTTCCCAAAGTCCTGCTCTAAATCTAACTTGCTGGTGGTGTGGGTGTTTGGATAATAGAAATTCCATTTTCATCTATTCATGTGTGTATCTGTTTACCACCTGTCTTGTTCCAGGGGATCCCAGCTGGCTTGGCTTTCCTTGTGCCTTGGAACCCCTAGGCCCAGCCTCCCGTGTGTGCCCATGTTTCATTGTGCCGTAGAGGATGGCACAGGTCTGTGCGTAAATCGCCAGTTTCCAAGGTTGATGTGGGCTAGGGCTATCAGAGCACAGAAGAAAGAGGGATTGTAACAGGAGCACATAGACTCCCTTTTCCCTCCTTGGGGACCATAATCTTAGCAGACAGCGCAATCTTGTCTGGCTCAGCTGCTCCTACAGTTTGCTGGCTGGCCAGATCAACACAAGGTTCTTCCCTTGGGTCCCTAAGGAGCCTCAAACGGACTGGTCAATGCCATGTCCTGGCTCCCGTGATATCCCCCCTCCTGCTGCATTGCCCTGGACCAGGGTCCCTGCAAGGCTGAGAGACCCTTTCCCCCCCAAGTATGGCTCACTCCATTTCTGGCTTCAGAGCTTTGTGGCCTCACTGTCCTGTGGGCCCTTATGTCAGATGTGATATCTGGATAGTGTCCATGGACCAGGCACAGGGCTATCTGAAGACACTGTTACCTCAGCAGACCCCATGTCTCTTGAAAACACGCTACCCGTTAGGGCTTTTTGACCCAGGAGATCCACTCACAAAACCACCTTCCTTCCTGGACCTACCAAGACAGTTTTAGCCCTGCTTTTATTTATTTATTTATTTATTTATTTAAAAAAAATTTTTTTTTTCAACGTTTTTATTTATTTTTGGGACAGAGAGAGACAGAGCATGAACGGGGGAGGGGCAGAGAGAGAGGGAGACACAGAATCGGAAACAGGCTCCAGGCTCCGAGCCATCAGCCCAGAGTCCGACGCGGGGCTCGAACTCACGGACCGCGAGATCGTGACCTGGCTGAAGTCGGACGCTCAACTGACTGCGCCACCCAGGCGCCCCTAGCCCTGCTTTTAAAACACCTCTTAAAAATGCAGGCAGTTGCTGAAAACTCCTTTGTCCCCATCTAGTCAAACTCCCCTCCCTGCCCATTTCCATTGTGAGACGTCTAAGCACAAGTCTTGAGAGGACAGAGGTCATGTCCAGAGCCACACAGATGCACTGTGATGGAGGAAGGCCTGGCTTCTCACTGAATCCAATGGTCTTGTAAAGGATCTGTGTCTTGCTATGAGATGGCAGGGTTTTCTAAGTCACCAAAGTACTATAAATGAACACCCAGTATAACCCAAGCCTATCCTCACAGCCTCAGAGGCGCTTAGGGGAATTCTGTACCTTCGAAGAGATCAAACGGTTGATCGTCAAGTCCAAGGACATCACTGGGCTGGGAACTCTGAGCTTACCCTTGGTGTCACTGGGCTTTTTAATTTGCAGAGACTGTACAAAGGGACCGAGTGTCCGGGGCTGTACCCAAGTGTTGCAAAACAGATACTTTTCTATTTCAGAATTGTTCATGGTCCATGCTTTGTGGATTTCAGGGCTCTTGGTCAGCATCTGCTAATCATTCCTCATTGTCTTTTTGTTAGTGGGTTAGGATTATTGCCCCTTATCTGAGAAATGGAAAAAGCCAACAGCCTGTTCCAAGGGAGTGGAAAATCGGCCCAAGTGGCAAAGGACTCAAGCCTGTTGACTCTGGGCCAGGGACACCCCATGAGCAGTGCTGACTTTTCTCCATCTCGGAGAAGCCTTTCAAGGCCAGCCTCAGAATGTCATTTTAGACCCAAAGCCGTCTGGAATGAGGATAACCCTTTTTAATAGAAGTGAACGTTGGGGCACCTGGGTGGCTCAGTCGGTTAAGCGTCCGACTTCGGCTCAGGTCATGATCTCGCGGTCCGTGAGTTCGAGCCCCGCGTCGGGCTCTCTGCTGACAGCTCAGAGCCTGGAGCCTGTTTCCGATTCTGTGTCTCCCTATCTCTCTGACCCTCCCCCGTTCATGCTCTGTCTCAAAAATAAATAAACATTTAAAAAGAAAAAAAGAAGTGAATGCCTTCATCTCCCAAGCACTCCCTTCACCCAGCAGGTCTGGCCAGTCACCC